TTATAGATTGCAATTTTACCCGTCAAGGTGGTAGAAAATACTACACAGATGATGGTGTGGGTCATTTTGCCCCGATTTCGTAAAATATTTCAATCTAATATACAACACATTTGTTCGATCGCCATACCAATAATCAGGTAGCGGTACCTAAGCCTTTGTCAACATATTGCTTCACTTCCGCGAAGGTTATATGCATAGTTGGATCCGATAAGTATCACTGTTGTATAGTCCACCCGTGCGTAAGCGGGGCAGATCGCTTGTATTTCTATAAAATAAGTAATATCTTTAAAAATATCTATAAAAAATAAAGTATAACTTTTAAGATTATTTGGTTGTTGCTTTATAACTTGTAACAAAATTAAAAAAGTAAATTTAACTGCTTTTAATAAAGGTAATATTAAAAATTTCCTCTAAAGATAAACGCGACAAATTACCAAAATTAATATTGCCTAGTCCATTCTTACTTTATTACGAAAAAAATTACAGTTTTTAAGTTTTTAGGTAAATTTTTCAGAACATTTTTAAGCATTTTATCAGTACCAAAAACGATCAAGCATTTCAATTTCAACATGACAAAGTAAGCTTCTGGTATTACACCAGGCAATTTGTGGGATAAACGATAAGTTAAAGAGTGGAAAAAAGGTGACCCAATAACCCAAAAATTAACTAACGTCTAAATGACTTACAATATTTATTATTATAGACTTTGTACGCTCGAAGTCGTTACCTAGCATACATATGTGTAAGAGTATGCATTATCCCATACCATCTAGTGAGTGTCATAAGAGGCGACAGAGGGAAATAAATCAGGAGATGAACGGAAGCGTTTTTCTGATTACGAATATAAATAAAATAACTGCGATTGCCAACTGATTGCCAAGCGTGGCTACTACGGAAAATATCCCCCCCATGAGGCAATCTATTGAAGAGTTTAATCGGTTGTAATGATGTAAATTATCCAGTAGTTCGTACTGTACGTAAAGCATCTGAAACAAAGTTTCCAGTGAGGTGAGTCCAGCTTCGACCAAGAGGTCAACCAACGACATCGTTTTGGCTGAGCTGCGTTCGGATAACTGCAACAAACCCTTTTGTTCAAATTAATTCAGAGTCCTAAGATGAAAGTGTACAACTAGTGTATGTTGCTGGCGATACCTTATCGAACTAAAACGTGGTCCGCCACTGCTGGCTGGCTGAGGAAGCTCACAGCGTGCGTTGAAAAGGTTTATGTTAATTCTGTGCGGGATATAATTCCTGACGAAGATATCTGCAGAAGAACAAGAATGATTGACATATCACAGCACATAAATAGACTTAAAGGATCGACAACCAATGGGAAAGAAAGATTTTTGAGTGGAAACCTCGTACTACCAAGTGCAGTGTTCTAAATGGTTTCTACTAGACAGAGCGAAAATCTTATTAAACACGCATGTGTTCGATGAATGCAGATAGCTCCGAACTGTCCTTTGGGCCATTTTATGGTAGCCAAAAATCAGCTGTAGAATTGTAGCAAGGCTCAAAGATTAGGCGCAGGCACATAAAACACCACCAAACTCCTTACTGCGGGCAGTTACTGAGAATTTCTTGACAGAAAAATTCAATAACTAGTTTTTACCCGACCTTGGATTCAAACCCGGGATCTTCTGATTAGCAATCGCGTTCACGACCACTAGACCAACGAGGAAGTCAAGCCAGGCATTAATATAAACAGTATGTATCATGGTGACTCATGAGTATCCACTCGTATCACCACATTTCATCCCATGGATGTTGTATGAGTTAAACAGGATATATACAAGGAAGAACTTGTGACTTCTGATAGATACAGGTAGGACCATCACATTTACGTCAGGCGTAAAATACCTACAGCGACGGCGCCAGCGTCAAAGGTGCGAGACGTCTGGTACTGCAATCGACAATCCACCTGATGATCATAACCAGGGGGTGAAATATAGATTACTGTGTATATACTAGGGGTGAAACTTCAATACAAACCTAACACCGAAATTTTGTGTGTAGCCTGAGCGCTATCTTTAGTACGTTGTCGTGCAAGTAAGTAAACGTTTTATACAAAAAATCTAATAGATGGCGGAGTTAATACGGTTGGGTGGCCATATAAAGAAGTTGGTAGAATTGGAAGAATTATATTAATTGTATTTTGTTTTGGTTTTCAATTATTGCATTTTTACAATAAAACTATAAATAAAAATATAATAAACTAAAAAACTACTTCTCTTCAAATGTTATTAAAGCGTTTTTGGTAGTGATTTTTTAAATGTTTTCAAATGTAATAACGTAATTAAGTAATTTCTAATTCTGGTTATGGCAACTTTTGACATTGCAGGCCGGTAGAAAAGTTTTGAATTTTCTGAATCTGACCTGCTTTCTGTATTGTAAGTTTGCGTCATTAAGATTGTATTAGTGAAATTCTTTATTGACTTAGTATTTCTTACTCAATCTGGATTTTTCTACTGCATATATAAACTCGGCACCCAATACGGACTTTGGATTTTCTACTACTACGCACGACATTGCCATTCAAAATTACGGATTTTGGTTTTTCCTTTAATTTATACGACTGTTTCTATATTGGAATCCGCAATGCCTACGAAATTGTGTTATATTGGCTATAAGCTAGATGGTAAGTATTTGCGTAAATGAATATATATCTTATTGATTACGATAGGAACATAAAAAACCCATATTGTTTTTATTTTGAGTACCTATGCATCGTTTTCCAAAACCTGGCTATTATAACGAAGCTAGATATAATATGTGATTGGAAGTATTGTCTGAGGAAACTCAGAGGAACTTCATATTATATATTCAGAAATATCTACATATGTGACAGGCATTTTGAACAAAAGTTTTGCACTGTTGGGAGCAGGCTTACTGCTAAAATTTATCCCACTTTAAATTTATGTAAGTATATAGCAGTACGTTGCTTGCTTTCTGGGTAGGTAGGTATGTAGTGCAGAAGTGTAATTTCTATTATCTACTAATTTCTATGTAGTGGTAACATAAGAGAAACCACTAGCTCTGTATAATAAAAAACTGTTGGCAATCTGCCACCCGCAAAAAAACTCATTGGTAAAACACCTCTGAATAGAACCACACGAATTCTCAGCCTCTTTCTGTTTCTTGTATATATTAATGACTTACCTTACACAGTATAACCATGATAAAGTATTATTTGCTGATGATACTTCATTAAATTTCAAATTTTAAACGACAGTTATTAAATTACGACGTAGTAAATAATGCTATAGCTAAGTTAGTCAATTGGTTTAATGTTAATAATTTGCATTTGAATGGAACTAAAACTAAATGTATGAAATTCGAAACTCCTAATGTTAAACATGCCAATAATAATGTAATTTTAAATGGGGAGGAACTGAGTCTTGTTGATACCACCATTTTTCTTGAAATCACACTGGATGCACAGCTTCAATGGCTCCCCCATATATGAAAACTAGCTGGCAGACTTAGTTCTGCAGCATATGCTGTAAAAAAGAACTCTAGAACTCTTACCAGTGTTGAAACAGCTAGAATAGTTTACTTTAGTTATTTCCGTAGTATTAAGTTGTATGGTATTTTGCTATGGGGACACACGACTGACACTGAAATTATATTTATTTTGCAGAAGAGGGCCATTAGAGCAATATATAATTTAAAACCAAAAGAGTCATTGAGACAAAAATTTAAGGAAATTAATATATTAACTCTGGTCTCTCAATACATTTATGAAAATGTAATGTACATATACAAAAATAAAATTAGTTTTGCGAAAATAAGTGGTATTCATTCTGTAAATACTAGGAACAGACACAAGCTAGTAGTACCAGTTACTTGACTCCACCGAGTCAGTAATTCATTCTTGGGGCGATGTATACGCTTTTACTACAAAATCCTAGAAATTATACAAAATTTGTCATACACAAAGTTCAAAAATGTTATTAAACTAAGTTTGTTTAAAAATTTAAAGAAAAATTTAAGGAAATTCACACACACGCACGCACACACACACACACACACACACACACACACACACACACACACACACACACACACACACACACACACACACACACACACACAACAGACACACACGCACACGCACGTGCACGCACACTCGTTCATACAATATCAAATTATTTAAAATAAGAATTCCTTAGATACCTTATATAGTACTAAAATGTAAATTGATAGCATGTTGTGATTACCTTTAAGTGATTGTACATTTAGAAATAACGAAACTGTAAATTTTAATTAATGATGTAATAATGTATCAATCGTTGGTAATCCTAATAAAGAGAAAAAAAATTGATTGTTTTGTTGTCCATTCTGGTAACAAATATTTTTTCTGAGTTTTGGCGCGACAGTAGTGTGATTCCATAATAGGCAATGAATCGAAAAAACTGTCCATTTCTTGGCGTTCTTTTACAAAAGGCTTAGATGAAGAAACTTCGGTTTCGTCGTCGTTCCTTCTTTGTCGAGTTCTAGTGGCATTATTTCGTTTTGTGCCATTTAATTGCTTGTTTTTCCAACTAAGCACAGTCTACCTGCCAATACCAAGAGTGTTGAGAAACATATTCCTGCAGACTTTGAATCGCTCGTCTTGTTTTTTTTAAATAGTATACTAAAGATTGGCTTCTTCTAGATTCTTTAATTTCTTTCCTTCCTCGTGGTCTTTTTATTGGCAATGATGTTACAAGACTATCGACGTAAACTTTTTTCTCTTGCCAACTCATGCTCCATCAATCCTTTAAATATTTCTTTCCTGTCTTTCTCTGTAAAACTTGAACACTTAATAGTCCCATGTTCAGTTTGTTTACATTTACACCTTTGTTTTATTATTCGTGATTCGGAATTTTATAATTCCATGTTTCTTCCTTTTTTTCTGCCATAATATTTTTTCCAGAATCTCTTAACTTTCTATTTTTTTCTGCAAACCAATTAGACTTTTGTATTTTTGCTCTTTTCTTTCTTTTTTTACTTTTATCTTAATAATCGCTATCAGACATAGAGTCAGAATGAATATCATAAGGAACTAAGCCTTCGTGGTCGCTTCCATCTTCCATATTATTCGCACCATCTTGAACATAGGTTTCATGTAAATCCATATTTTGACTGCCAATTTCATGACTTAAGTCTTGAACGCCTAGAACGTTACTCTCAGCAAATGACAGGTTCGGAGAAATCGAAACTCTGTCATTATTGATTTCTTTGTCTATATTATTATGGCTAGTAACAGATGTGGACGGGGTAATGCTACTATAGTTAATAGTCTCAAGTAAGGTAGGTTCAGTCATTTCAATAACAATGGGTTCCTCTGTTGCTTTAGTTATAGGCACAATTTGACAATTTTCAGGTAAGGTACGTAATTCCAGTGCGTCAGATAAGTCAATATTAAGATATTCAAATTCTACATTTTCAACATCTGATAATAATAATTCATTGTTAGGAGATTTCTCAGGTGATAAATTTTGACATGTATTTTCTGCATTATTTTCATTGAGTAAGTTATTCATCTTTTTAGCTCGCCAAAGCTGATAGGAAGACATCTGTAACAAGCAGTGGTCAATATTTTTTAAATAATAATTTTGCTAATAAACTGTAATAAAAGTAACTGAAAACATTTAAAGTAGATTATACAAGTTACCTGCTAAGTCGCAAAATTGTTCTAACCCGTTTGAAAAGAAACTTGCTAACTCCCATAATAACGAAACGTCTAATGTTATGAATTTTATAACGATAATTTTACTTAGTTTCCATAAATCCCACAAGACATATAAAACTGAATTAAGTTAATAGGTATTAACTTTCCACAATAACTATCACTAAAATTAATATTATTCCAACAACACGAAAAGTACCAGCTAAGTCCCAAAAAGGTTCAGTCTTTAGAAAAAAAACCTGCTAACTCCCATAATAACGAACGTCTAATGTTATGAATTTAAAACGATAAATTTATTTAGTTGTCAATAAATTCCAAAAGAAATAAAACTAAATAAGGATGATAAGTATTACCTTTGCACAATAACTATTATAAAATATTCTAACAACACAGTATACACATCCAAACAAAATATTTTTGTAGTAGAACAGTGAACTGGCGGCAGACACTATACAAAATGGCGGCGACGTTGGAGACAGCCGCGAAATTTGTATTGTTTGGATTTAGCAATTTTACTCATAGCACATTTTCCGATAGTTTCGGTCATAATTTGATATAGTTGTTTTACTTGGCCGATGCAGCGTCTTTTCTTCTTTCGAACTGTATCAAAATGTCGTATGTGATAGAAAATGGATTTAGTAGGTTTACACTCTAAGGTGACGATATACTTATTGTAAAACTGATAATAAATGCAATAAATAAAATCTTCGTATTTTATTACAGGTTGAAGAACTTAACTTTTTCTTTAATATTCCCACTTAAAAACAGTTTAGTTTTAAGGCCGAATACGAAGTGAATGACCTTACTCGTTTCGTGGCAAACCACGCGCTGTCTATCGAACATCACGTTCGTAGCTGTACGAGTGCGCTAGTTCGGTATGCAGAGTAATGAATAATATAGAGAGCTTTGCTTACTTCTCAATTAAATCTTTCTTATTTATAATATTAGTTCCTTTATTGTATGTAATAAGTGCCTTTTAACAGTAAAGAAAAATTACTGTAATAAGGCACTTATTACAGTAATTTTTCTTTCTTCTAGAACAATCTACCAGAAATAATAAAATTTAAAGATTATTTGGTAAATATACATTATTTTTAGGATAATAAACCAAAATCATGTTCATTTTTTTGTACCATATCGTGACTTACTATACTTTAATGCACAACCGGGCATATTTTCTTTAAAAATATATTTTAAATTTATGAAACGAATGCGTCTTGACCTTTCGGTGATGGCAAAATGAATGACAAAAATCGGAGATATATCCTAAAGGACAAAAGTTGCAGACGACAATTTTGTTGCTGATGTCCGGTCTATTACTACTACATATTAAATGTCGTTGCTAAATATAAAAAAGTATGTACAGAAAGTTGTAAGTCGTAGTCACATATTCATCGCTTTCTAAAAAATGCTTGTGCGTACAACGCTTCCTTGGCGGCTTGAAGAAATCCTCGGATCTTCTACGTGCTATGACTGATATCCATTCTCCACACATAACTGGATCTGGAGGAAAGCAAAAAAATAAAATCTCACATCTTTAATTTTATTACACACATATTCAAAATTAAATAGGTATATAAAATGTTACTATAATATTTAGAGAAACAATAAAGAAGTACATTAAAAAAACAATCATACTTTAATAATAAAAAAATAAGAACATCTCCAACAAATGGAACAGAGTCAACGCACATAACTCGAACAATTATGTATTATTATACTACGACTAAAATGTTTTACGGGGATTTCTTGAAAAATATAAGTATTTACAATATAGTGATAACAGTTAAATAAGGATAATATTAATACGTACCGAAATTAGGAAATTACATCCTTTTTTAGCGTCCTGGATGTGTGATTTTTATTCTTTTTAAACGAGCACTGAGGCATGTTTACCGTCAGAGCATTCGAATATAACTAGATTAAAAGCACACCCAAATGTTCGAATGGGTGCTCATTCGGTGAGGCCATTTTTTGTCACTGATTGTGCATCTAGTTTTATATTAGTGATCGATGGTTGTCTGCTATAAAAGAAGCCTAACTAATGTTTATAAAATATAAATACAAAAGTGTATATAATAGTGTATGTAAATAGTTGATTTTTATAAATAAAATCAATAAACTTTTAAATACACAGTTATTTGATTTATAATTTATATTAAGGTTAAAATAATGTTTACATTAATTATAATAAAAAAATAATTTATTTTATTTCGTTTTAAAAAGGACATGCCTTAAAAATATTTTTAGGATTATAGAAAGTCATAAGCCTGAAAAGTATGAAAAAGCGTTTATTGGTTTTTCTTTACCCATTTATTTTATTTTAGTCTAATATGCGACTTATTACGAAATAATGTTCTTATATAGCACGTGGTCTATCCAATGAACGTCATATAATGTAACGAGCTACGAGATATAGCGTGCTACAATACTTAACGCGCTTGCCAGCCTCCTACACGTTTTATTATAAATAGCGCGCTACAACATAGCGTATCTAGTAGCGTGCTAGAAATTTATAGTTTATAGTCTTTAGCGTGCCATTGAATAATAGTCGTTTTGAACAAATTTAATATTAGTATAGATCATAAGTTCTGTAAAGTTATTCTGTAAAGAAAAATTATTTAATTGACATCGATTTTTTTTCTGAATTGGTGTATCGTACGTAAAGTACTTTACGTAACTGAATTGTAAACTGTTTGTTCTTGTGAGTTTTACAAGATGCCATAATGCAAATTGCATAAATAATAAAGAAAAAATTTTAAAGTCCCAGTTTGCCCAATAGTAGGTGTAGGTACTGTGTGTGTAAATTCTCACAAGACTACTTCGACCGGTCAATCACTTAATACCCGTCGTATGTCGGTTTTTCTTACTACTTACCCCATACTTTCGGACAATACATTGACTATGACATCATTTGCGGTCTCTGTGCTTGCACTACCCTGTACATTATTTTCCGACTCGGTCGTGATATTTACATTTTTAGAGTTTCTCACTTCATCACGCAGAAACGTATAAATAATCAGTTTTGGTAATGTAAATTAGTAATAGTAATAGTATTAGGCAGGATCCAACAATAAAGTACCGTACAAAAAAATATAACCTCAAAGTGGAATGTACCATATTCGAGGAGCATTCTTGCGATAAACTCTCTTTGTTTTACTACTTAAGTAATATTTATTTCTTTTCCTACGCTTATTCACATTTATAGTCACTTTAACGCGTGTAATTAAAAATAATAAAATAAAATAAAAATAAAATAAACCCTAACTTAACCATTTTTAACACAGAGTTTTTAACAGACTATTGTCATCTTACGCCACACATCGAAGCGCCTGGCAATTTATGACGGCAAACTTTTATCTGGCAATATACAATATCATTACCAGGCGTTTTTAATTTAAACGAATTATGTTAATAAAAAAATTGTTTTTCAAAAGGTGGAAAATGAAGAAGACATACACCTTCGGAATCTCAATACAAATATTTTTACGTAAAAATAAGTTTTCCTAAATTTTTATTCACAGAGTTTTGGAAGAAAAATAATTTTGAGATATCATTTATTAGCACAATTTTTAAATTGGTATATTGACTTATTTTAAAAAGGCAGACACCTAGTGAAGTAACCGAATAAACCTACAAAGTTCACAACAAACGCTTAGAATTACTTCAGGTCAAACTTTTAGTGTACAGAAATACATAAGGTTTCGCCAGTTCTCTTCGTATTCGGCCTTAAATGAATAAATTATATTCTATATAGTTATGCCCTCTAGTGGGTGATCATGAAAAGAATCAGCGCCATCTTCAGGAGGTAGTTTGTAATTAATAATTTCAAAATCTCAGTGGCGTATCTACTCCCGATTATACTAGCTTATCTATGATCATAACGATAAAGGCGGATATCCTCTGTCTGTGTGTGCTTATTTCAAATTTTTATTAAGAGTTTCTTTTTTGGCAGTTATGATCCTTCTAAGGCTAAGGTATTTAAATAATAACAAAAGGGAGTCTTACTTTCTTTCATACGTCTGGTTTTGGGTAATATCTTGCATAAGACGAATGGCATGTACAGTTTTGGAGCAAAAGACATCATGTGTTCTGAACTATGCGCTATCGTACCCAGGGATCCAATTTTTACGATGTGTAGATCCACATCACAATTGTCCCTCGATCATACGATTTTCTTCCAGTAATATAACACTAATAACATTATTTACTTCAGGGTCAGCTTTAAGAAAAAAAAAAGTGTTTCCTTTTCCCAGCATCGTTAATCCAGTTTTGGCAAGAGCAAATAAAATTTGACCTATTCAATGAACTGTGATTACAAAAGCGTATTTGCGGACAAATAAGTCTTTATATCAGTAGGATAAATCTCCATTGAATTTAGTTCCAACTTCAAAAGAAATCCAAATGAGATTTATTGGCACTTTGCCTGCGATTTTGAAATTCCACTTTATGTATTCCTATTCGTCTTTGCACTATGTATCTTGTTTACTCTTCATATAGGTATACAATAACGGTATTTAATACGATTTCTTTTCTGCCTTACCTTCTCGGAAAACGCTTCCAAGCATTTTGATAATCTTTTACATTTCAAGTGTATCAAGTTAGATATCACCTTTATATTTTTTACTAGTGCCAAGTGAAGTTCAGTAGTACAAGTATTAGAAGATAATATGTTTAGCAGTGGAATTGGAATGAGCCGTAGTGATGATGGTGATGATGAAAGATATTCTACCAAAGCAAGAAATGATGATGTTCTCTTTATTTATGTCTATCTTTAATATGAAATAGGTAGTTAACAATATTTTTAGAATGAGAATAATACAAATGAAAAAGGGCAGTAATGCCAACATATTATTATTGATATACTTTATAAACAAAATTCACATC